TTTTTATTTTCAACCTGTCGACGACTAATGTTTTCCACAACGCATTGTTCGGCAAACTCACCTACAGGTCAGTTGTAATCTATCCGTCATATACGAACGTGCTCTGTAACACGCGTCCTATCGTGGAAAAGTCCGACGACTTATTAATACTACACTTCAATCCGATAATTTACGAAATCCACATGTAAGTTACTATATAATAAGTTTAAGCAGCACTAAGTAAGGCATGTAACAGTGAAACTAAAACATTCACCGTTTTATCTCTCAAGGTTCAAATTCATGTAAGCACAAATCACTTGAGAAGGACCACAATCCGGATGGTCGAAACGTAGTGATATAATTCAATAAAGTTTATGCCAGTTGGGTCGACTAAATCACTCATTACTATACATATTCATTCGAAGAAATTAATCTTTTATTTCTGATCCTATATTGACTTAAATGTTTTATCCGTTTTTTTATTTATAAGGGATTAATAACGTTTCTATTTAGTCTTCGTTTTTTCCTCACTTTTTCCTCTAATTGTAATTAGCTTTCGGCTACTTGGACATTGCAATACTGTCGTACTGTATCAATTGTCTCTTGTCTCATACTTAGCGTTTGAATAGCGTGAAGAATGGTTCCGCAAATATGTAAATCACCATATTCGTTTTGGAGTCTTGAGTGTTAAGACAAATTGCTAGTTCGACCAGCTACTTCGTAAAAACCGTTGCTCTATAATGAGTTACGGTTGATTGCGGGTAGTCAAACTAAAGCAGTAGTGGCCAACTACTTTTTTCAGTTTATAATACAATTTGACTGAATACGTATCGCTTGAAGCAGTACTTCTTCATAATGCTGTAATATTAAGAAGATAGGATTAGTTTTCTTTGTACTTGCAATTTTCTTCTGCGTAGCAAGTGTCTTCTAAAATTTCTGCTGCACATTGCTTATTGATTGTTTATTAATTTACACTATATCTGCTAAAGGTAAATTTTTATTGCAAAATATAGAAAACTAACTGCAACTTCACGGTAAAATAGAAGTTAATGATAAATGCTCATTTATTCGCAAAAATAAAATACTAAACGGTTAATTTAGATATGTGAAATGAATACAACAAAAAAGTTAGAGAACGGACAACACGAACACTAATAGGCAGATGCATTAAACTTCCTTTCGAAGAATGACGTCTCTTCAGTGTTTAAATAAGATGTGTGCATTAATCTTCGGGTAATATTGACAATGACTGAGGTTCTTGTTATATCCTGTCAATCTTCTAAAAAATTTTTGTCTGCGCCAGTATTAAGAAAACATCTTGGCAACTATAAAGGAGACTGCTTTTAATACAATATATCCATCATTTAAGGTTTGAAATAGTAGAACGATTGATTTCACTTTTCCTTTTCCTTCTACAGATACAATTATATGTGCGTATATGATTTTTGTATAATTAAATCAATTTTTAACAATCTGTAATAAATCAACAATCGAAATAAGTTGCAAAATATGATAAAATTTCTCCTTAACTTTTACGGTAATTATCTTAGCGGTGCCATAGGTCTCTTTTCGTTTATTTTACCGTTACATTGAGATTTTGTAATGTTGCGGCGTTTAATGTATTTTATATGAATTGATGAGCGTGTTTGTTAATAATATCAAACCTGTATCTAGATAAGAAAAGTATTTTAAATTCCTTAAAATTATTTTATAAAATGTGTGTGTGGTTGAGGTTTAGTCTTTCAACATTTCTTCAAAATAAATGGCTTTAAAATGTAACCAAAAAAAAGACCCAAGAGCTTCCTGTCGCGTGATCTTTCCTATTCACATAATTACTTCTAAACTTTAATAATGGAATGATGAAACCTTTATCATCTTCTACGAAGAGCATTCCACTATGATGTAAATTAACTTTTAGATATAACACCAGTATTGACATATATTCTTAGAACTTGGAGAATATTACATTTTATAGACATAAGAAATCTGCACAGTTAATTACATTTTCTTTTAATCTAACACAGATAAATTTATGTTAAACAATAAAGTAGAATAAAATCGAATTACTAATGTAGTGCGCTAGATATTGATTTATTATTTTGTTTTCCGTTATTAAATATGATTTTATTCACGTCAAATATTTAAAAAATATTAAAATTTTTTATATATACGATTTCTTTCATGTGTATATATAATATTTAATGTTGTCAAAATTCTAAGCATATGTAAATGGCACTTTTTACAATATAAAACTTATTTTGGTAGTTATGCATAAAAGGGGCCTCCCCTACGATTCCATTTATTTTTTAATATGTTGTTGGGGGGGAGGGTCTTCCCAAGTAATATCACATATATAAGGGTCATATCTAATCAAAGTTATATTTACGACGAAACAGAAATTCAGCAAGGTATCCTACATAATGTTTTTGACCTATTCCGTAGCGTCGAATATTAGCACGTGTATCTCGCCAGGCACACTCATTGTTATGTGTGTGAGCACCGCTATCAGGATCGATGAAATTCATCTTATGATTTTAGATGTTTAAACTCACAATCATTCAAACAATTATATGATCTCCACACCTACATATAGATGTGGGTTCAATCTCTCTTCGCGTATAAAGTTAGGAAACCGTTTATAACTTTTCACGCGAGGCGACATTCAACCCACACCTATGTGTAGGTATAGGTATGGTTGGTTTTTAAATTGTGGAGCCCCCCCTGCGGGGGGGGGGGGGGGCGGATTGCCTCCACACATATACTTTTTAATGCAAAGCGAGGTTCCACATGGGTTTAAAACTTATCAAATGCTTATTTTTGTATTTATTATTTTCATCCTTTTTTAACTTATATCTCCGAAACTATTTGAGTCCGACCCTTATATATATATGTATGAAATTACTCGAGAAGACCCCCAACAACATACTAAAAAATTAATGCCATCGGAGGGGAGGCCCCTTTTATGCACAATTAGCCTTATTTTAATTGCTGGTTTATTACATATTGTTAATATATTCGTTTAATCACAAACACCAGAAACACGTATATAATTGTAGCTATAGCAACTGTAGGAGCAATATTTTCATATAAGGGAATGAAAAATTTAAATAACGTGTCTTTTTAATTATTATTTTACATCTGCGTCTTGAAGTCTTCAAACTGCTTGCTTTGATATGCAAAAGTATTCCGCATCGATCACTTCCGCAAACTCCTTTCACTCTCGGGACTTATCTGTAAAAAAATACTCTAGTTAGTATAACCGCATGAACGAAATTAAATTCTGTTTTCTTATAAATTAACAATATAAATTACAAAATGAGATCGCAAATATTTTTAGATATGTCAAATTCTGAGCAATCAAAATGTAGTTAACCAAAACGCTGCACATAAAGATTACGATAAAACATTAATCCCGTTTCTCATAATTTTGCTTTTTAGATGGAATAAATAAATCGTACTGTGATACTTACTGTGTAACTTACTGTGATAATCGTCGTCACAAAATGTTTGTAATCGTATAGTATAATAAAGTATGATCGCGTTACGAAGAGCAATATGAAAGCCGCTACTTGCCTCCTCGAGTGTCAATGCACGAATGGTACCAAATGGTACCATGGCAACTTTCCGGAACACTACTCATGCAAAAGGAAAACACGAAGCAAGACCATGCACCAACCGAAGTTAATTATCGCCATAAAATATTAAACTTTATATTCAATACGTTTGTTTTAAAGTTTTTGTATAATTAACAGCGTTTATTACTATCAATGATTGGATAATCAATAATTGGATAATGACTATTATTGTTAATTAAATTTAACATTTGTCTCTTTGCTTACTTGGTTATCTTTCGGTATTTTTCGTACGTATCAATAAAATCACGAGACACGGTAGTGTCTCGCGCAAAGTTTTTTTACCCTTTTTTAGAAAAAGGTAAGTTTTTAGGTTTGATATTACAGCAATGAAAAATAAAGTCCAAAGTTTCTGCCTCAGATTCATGATGAAACATATGTAATTGTTTATTATTAATGAGGTGGTCGAGACACTTACAAATTCATTGCACAATCTTCTGCGAGCCGAGAAAGTTCCATGTACATGTATACTTTTATTCAAAGACATTTTCGCTATTAACCGGACGTAACACTTAGTTACAAATATACGCGCTGTAAAAATAAATTAAGAGACTTCAGAAAGTGTCTAAATAAATAACAGCACCTAAGCTCAGTTCGCAAAACGTAACAATGATCATTGCAAATTAGCGTCGATCGTTATGCATCCTCATCATTCGTGTGTTACATGTTTTATAAAGAAAGTACACAGAGGCATACAATTAGGGAAAAATATACTAGTAGGTATCAGTGTACGTAATACAGCACATAAATGCGATGAGTTGCGGATTTTTGTCTGTAGTACGAAAGAGACGAACAGTCTGGTCGTTCGCTGTAAATACGAGAAACACACATCTCGAAAAATTACCTGCCACAAACGAAACCATTTAAGCGTACTCGTGCGGAAGAGAGACAATCGCAACGTATAGCGCGCGATAGCCGAATTCTTCCATCCGCCCTAAATATTGATAAAACATAATATCTATATGTACATCAATGTGCTATTGGTGCGGCTCCGACCTGTTAGAAGCAGTCCAACGTAGTTTATTTATCACAGTAGCACCCCGACTGACGTCACGTCTATATCTAAATCGCGCAAACGCTTCCTGAAAATCTGTATATTTTATCCGATGAATTCAACTATTAAGATCGTAACGATTTTAATCGCTAAAACGAACCGAGAATACTCTTATCCTAATCCTGTGCATATTCACAGTTTACGCTGTACTTTGTTTCGCACGCTAATTATATCGTGTGTGACGAGAGATGCCGTCAACATTTGTTTTTACGCGGATAATCCTACGACTCGTCTGTGTATGTAAGATTCTTGAGCATGCACCGTTTACGTTTCAATTTACTTTTAGTCTCTCACTAATTATTTATTTATTTAGATTCTTATTTAGATTTAGTATAAATTATCGGCCTAACAATTAGGAGAGGACAATGTCTTGCTTCATCGGCTCGGTCGTGCATTTCGTGGGTCATATACCGAGATAGCTGCAGAGAATAAACACGCAGCATATGCATATGACTATCAGAATGATGACAAACCAGAATGGCAGTGTATCTAAAAAAAGAAACTTATTAGTTTCAGTAGACTTCAAAGGCAATTGTTTATTCGTTCACTTCGACAAGATACTTACGTCTGAATGGTATACTGTGTATACAGATCCTGTTGTCCACGGAGATACTGACGACCGCGGTCTCCGTGTTACTGGTGATCGCCGGGCCGTCCAGTTTCGTCGGCAGGAATTCCAGACCGGTGACAAACATGCTGTGCGCCCCAGGTACATGAAGCGCCTTTCTCAAGCTGAATGCCACGAATATATCGACGCTGCCCGAAAACATCGTGCCAACAGCCACGAATTTACCATCGTCGGAGACGGCCAACGCCGAGAGCGTTTCCTTGTAGGAGGCGGATTTGACGATGGCCTCGGTATGGGCGTCCCATAGCTGGAGGAAGCTAGGATTCTTCCCCGCGATGGCGTTGGAAAGCACGAACAGATCGATCCTCGTCTTGTCCTCCGCCAATTTTCGAAATCGGCATCTTTTGTACATGTACCTGGCACCGTCCGGTGGTGTCCAAGTGAGCTCCTTGTTCCGCGCGCCGTCGTTCACGTTCCACAAGAAGGCCTTTCCATCCTTGGCGATGCTCACCAGCAGACCACCATCCGGACTAAAATCCAAATCGTCTATCTCCCTCCCGTGCGCGTCGAGATCGTGCACTTTGTGCAACTGTGGGAATTTCCACAATCTAACTCTACCGTCCGTGCCGCCCGTGGCCATGATCGTCCCTTGCAAGCTCACCCTGACGACTCTCTGCAAAGGCTCACCGTTCCTGCAAGCAAACGAGCTCTCGTCAGAAATCAGCGTGATGCACCTCGACGTGATAAACGCGACGAAACTGTCTTACCCAAAAGCCGTCTGCACGCTGTCGGTTGGCTTGAGAACTAATTGAAGCTTTTTGTTCTTGACATTAGAATTGTCATCTTTGACCTCCTCTATCCTCTCCTTCGGCAACTGTACTTCCTCGACCTTCTCGCTGTTCCTCCTGTGCCTAAGGCCATCTCTGCTGGTCGCCGTTGTCGGTCCCTTGATCAAATCCCCGTTCTCCAGAGTCACCACCTTGGGATTCACGTTGTACAGTTGACAGTGACTCTCTTGGCCGGCGACTATCCACGTCTTCTTGCCATTGTTATGCGAGGCGCAGTTCATGACCACGCTGGGACCCGTCTCGTGCCTGGTCACTTCTTCAGCGACAAAATGCGCTCCGTTGTGTGACAGTTCAAAAATTTCCTGCAACAGACCGAACTTACAATAGATTCTTCAAGAAAAGAGAAGGGAATCTTACGAGAAGGAACGAGAGATAAATCTCAGATGGCCAAATGTGTCGAGAGCAAATATTCCAAAGGGTCTGCTACAAATATCTCGAAAAGACAACAGAGGGTGCGTTTCGTTTCGCGAATGACGCGCATAATGCAACATTAATCCTTGTTATTAATCATTGTTATTCGCCAAATGTCAAATAAGGATAGATGATGCATTTTCTCCACTGAACGTGGCCATTGGGGGGGGGGGGGAACGACATTAGACACTGAAACGCTAAATGAAAAACAATTTGCATCTTGTAAAAATAAAGGACAAAATTAAGTTTTGAAGAAATAAATAAAGGTAATGGAAAGTGACTTGAAATAAAGGGCAGTTCTTTACAATAAAGGACGTATGGTCACTGCAATTATGCGCGTCCTGCGTGAAACGGAACGCACCTTGACACCCGGAAACTTACAAATCCATTGGCAACGCCAGTGTTGGAGGAGCCGCCACCGCCTCCCACCAGGATGTGCCTGCTGGTGAGCATCTGCAGGGTGTACAGGGGAAAATTCACCCTGGCCAGGAGGCCGCCTTTATTTCTTCGGGAGGGCATGACGCGGCAGATCTCGCCGTCTAGCAAACTTGCGCGTATCAGCTGGTATCACCACGGACACGGGCCTCGCCGCAGCGAGGAACGACGAGCCCGAACGGGGTAGACCCTCTGGCCCTCTGCCAGTCCGGGATCAGCACTGTCCACCGGATGGATCGCGCGCGCGACATCAGCGTCCCATCGTCGCTCCGGGACGGCCTGTGCGAAAACGGGGACACCAGGGGACACGCCGCTCACGTGTCACCACCTGGGCGCGAGACGACGGGCCCGTGGACTTCGCGCGGACATAATAACGCGAGGTACACGTATTCAGCTCGCGGCGACGCGCCTCACGGTTGGGCGCTCCGTCGCGAGATCGCGCCACCGGGTTTGCAGAGCGGAGAGCCCGGCGGGTAAAGTCTAGACCGCCACACACTTTGCCCCTAGGTGCGAGTCTGGACTAAATTTTGTATATCCGATTTTACAGAAACATTAACAGAACTGATGTATTTAATAATAATACTTTGCAGTTATAATTTTATCTATCTTTTTAATTATCGAATTATGTCCCCCTTGGGTTGGACTGAAGGCGAATTGCTACTCCGAACGGGTGGAATAAAATAAAACGGGAAAAAGCCAAGGCGAAAGATGCGAATGAGCGCGTATCTTCCAAGACCGACGGCCGATACCGTCGCTTTGCCGATCGAGAGGGCCGGGATGTTACGCGGTTAGCCGCGCCGCCGACGGGCCACCTGGGTCGCGCGATTAGGCGCTGATCGGCTGATCCGTGGAGCCCCGCAAAATGGCAGGTGCCATAGTGCGTTGTTTTCAAATCCCGAGGAGACAGTTGGGTGAGTCTCGAGCATCCGCTCGTTATCGCGGCCGCGCGAGTCGTCGCGAGCCGCGGACGCGCCCCGTCCGCGACGGAACGACGCGCGGGCGTCGCCCGCGCGCCTCCGGGCACGCCGCTTCGCAACGTCTGGTGTACGAGGTTATGTAATTTGATAAACTTGCGCTATATTTAAAGGTCTCCTCGGAACGAACTTGAGTGTCCAGCAGCAGAGAACGCTCGCCGATGCCGCTCCGGAAGGAAAGGTGAGGCTGTTTCCCGAGAGCCATTCGTTTTAATCGCTCCCTCAAATGGCTCCGTTTCTCCAATCTCAAAAGTCTCGACGCGCTCTCATCTTCGTAGCTCCTAGCTGCACTAGTTCAGAGTCTATCTTCCCTCGATTAGAAACGTAGATGATAACAAGTGTAGATTGTGCGGGACTAGTCCCAAGTGGTGTCTGCGTTGTCACCAGCTTTCTTCCTTCCGTAGAAACAAGGGGCGCCTCTGGCCGATCAGGATCGCATCTTCACGAACCTGTACGGCAGACACGACTGGCGGCTGAAGGGCGCCATGAGCCGCGGCGACTGGTACAAGACCAAGGAGATAATAGACAAGGGCGCCGATTGGATCATTAACGAGATCAAGATCTCCGGCCTGAGGGGCCGCGGCGGCGCCGGCTTTCCCTCCGGGATGAAGTGGTCCTTCATGAACAAGCCGTCCGACGGCCGGCCCAAGTATCTGGTGATCAACGGCGACGAGGGCGAGCCGGGGACCTGCAAGGATCGCGAGATTCTGCGCCACGATCCGCACAAGCTCGTGGAGGGCTGCCTGATCGCCGGCCGCGCCATGGGCGCCTGCGCCGCTTACATCTACATACGCGGTGAATTTTATAACGAGGCGTCCAACATGCAGGTCGCCATAGCCGAGGCCTACCAGGCCGGTCTGATCGGCAAGAACGCCTGCAACTCCGGCTACGACTTCGACATCTACGTGCAACGAGGCGCGGGCGCGTACATCTGCGGCGAGGAGACCGCTCTCATCGAGTCCATCGAGGGGAAGCAGGGCAAGCCGAGGCTAAAGCCGCCGTTCCCGGCCGACGTCGGCGTGTTCGGATGCCCCACGACCGTCACCAACGTCGAGACCGTAGCAGTGGCGCCTGTACGCATTGCCGGATACACATTTTGCCTCTTCCGTTTTACTTTACTTCATTTAATTTATCAATAATGTTATCCAGACGATCTGTCGCCGAGGCGGAGCGTGGTTCGCCTCGTTCGGACGCCCGCGTAACCAAGGAACCAAGCTCTACAACATTTCTGGGCACGTGAACAATCCGTGTACCGTCGAGGAGGAGATGTCCATCCCTCTGAGGGAGCTGATCGAGAGGCACGCGGGAGGTGTGATCGGAGGATGGGATAACTTGTTAGGTGTCATTCCCGGTGGCTCTTCGACTCCCGTCATTCCTAAGAGGTAAGTAAAGCGGTCCGATTTACGTTCAGGTAGCCCACGGTCGAAAATTTCAGTGCGTGCGACACCGTCTTGCTGGACTTTGACGATCTCATCAGGGTGCAGAGCTCGTTCGGCACGGCCGCGGTAATCGTGATGAACAAACAGACGGACATAATCAAAGCGATCACCCGGTTGATAAGCTTCTACAAGCACGAGTCTTGCGGCCAGTGCACGCCTTGCCGCGAGGGGATCAGTTGGATGTACAAAATACTGAAAAGGTGGGCATCGCGCTTGCGGTAACGTCCACGTTTTTGCAACAATTCTGTTCCGCAGGTTCGTGGATGGTAACGCTGAGATACACGAGATAGACATGCTGTGGGAGCTGACGAAACAAATAGAATTGCACACGATATGCGCTCTGGCGGACGGTGCCGCGTGGCCCGTGCAAGGTCTCATCAGGCACTTCAGGCCGGAGATCGAGGCGCGCATGAAGGAGCAGAAACGCGCGGCGTCCAAGAGCTGAGAACTCGCGCGAGATAGAGACAGAATCGGAGATTATAGACAAGATATATAACGGGGGGTACGACACTTAGAGCGATCCCTGCAAGATTTTATATTTATTTTCAGTGTATATAAACGAGCTTAAACGCAATAGTCACGATTCACCTGTAACGATATTCTGCGAACCCGGGCTGACATCCATATCCCGGAGGTTCGACCAATAAAGGAAATAGAGGAAAGCTTGGGCTACATTTATACACGTGTACATACGTAAATTGTAAGTAGGTGCTACTTGGCAGGATCGCGCGTTGGATTAGATCGAAACGTCTCGTAAACGTTTAACGTTTATGCTTACGAAGGGAAATAAAACTGGCGAGGCAAAGTGCTTCGGAGCAAAAGTTTTCGTGTAACGGCGGTCGTTCGCCGTCGGCAAACAGGGGGAATAATCGTATATCGCTTTAGGGCGCTTTAGCGCCGGAGAAAAATGGTTACTATGCTTTAAGATTGGTTCAGTAGCGTTCCAGTTATATTGTACTGAGAGAAATTTATAAGTTTCTAATCTATCCTACGCGGATCGCGAGCGATCCATCTTACCTCTTTGAGGATGACACTCTGGATGAAACAGCGGCGTAAGAATGTGGAATTTCGAGAGAAATGTCATTTCGACGGCAGCGGAGAGAGAGAGAGAGAGAGAGGAGAGAGAGAGAGAGAGAGGCGCTCCGTGTGCGCAAAAGTGTAAGGGGATTCGATTTCTCCAGGAATATTCGCAGAGTTTACTCAGAGCCATATAGGACTAACATTTACCTCCCGCGTTTTCTTATGCAAACGCCGTGCTACCCGTTATGCGGTTCTCGCGGAAATTATGTTACACGCCTCGCATTGCGGGGCTCTCAAAGTACACTCGCCTATGAGTTATGGTAGCAGTAACGGCATCGACGATGTATTACGCGAAATAAATGATAGGGCTATTGAATGGAAAATATTTTTACAGAGCACCGGGCCGCTCGGGATGAAGCCGAGAGCCGGGCCGCGCTCTTTCCCACCCATGAATCATGCATACGATCCACGGTACTTACGAGCTCGGGGCGAAACGCGAAAGCTGGGCACGTCCGGAGACGAGGGGTATTCGCCGGCAGGTTTTATCGAACGATACTTTGCATTTATTCGTTCATCATACAAGAGAATTCACTAGCGCTAAACGGTTCCGCCGGCTACAGTACGGATAATAATGTGACTTTAGATACGGTACAATGTGCGTATACAATACATATATACAAAAGCACGTTCGCCCGTCCCGCAGACGTCGCTTGCGTCTGCTCTCCCTGTCTCTCGTTCTCTCGCACTCGCATTCTCTCTCGTTCTCTCTTAGCGCCACTAAAGTCGGAACTGTCTTTTTCGCGGTTTCTCGAATTATCGTTAGTTACTTAAATAATAGATTTAAGCTAGCCGTTACATTCTCTCGGGATAGCTCGCCTCCTCCGCCGAGCTATCCCGGTTGTGTTAGTAAGCGCACACACTGTCTTTTATGATAGGTCCGTTGTGTTACGTTATCTCCGTCTCTCTTATTCTCTCCCTCTCTATGTGTACATATATATATAATCTATACCAAATCCATTTCATTTCGTCGCGCATCGGATATTACGGACTCCCCCTCTATTTTCGCTTCTCCTTTATTCACGACTCGCGGGCAGTGATGGCAAGATTGGTTTGTCCCAAGTACTCGCTCCGGATTGACAAAATATCCAGGCACGACACACATTTTCCCGCAACATTTTTAGGCACTAACCCACTGTATATGTATTATAACCGGCGTTAAATCTCAAGTACTTGAAAAAAAAGGACAACTGCTTCATCTCAACAGTCGCATCTTGATCCCATCGAGTGTCCGGTTATTTTTTTTAAAAAGAATCTATCGAGTTAATTGGCTACGCCAGCCCTAAAAGCAGTCGTTCCTAAGGCTCTCGCGCTCTCGTTTCTAAACTAAAACGGGAAGCTATTCTAGAAATATACTTAGCAAACACACAATTTTCTCGACGCCGTGTACCAAGCGTAAATCAACAGCGTATACGTCGCGCGACGGTACGAACTCAATTTAATTTAAATCTCGTTGACACGGCACAGCGTAATAATCGTAGGTCGTAGCACTTGTCGCCGGAGATGATCCCTCGGCAAGCATCCAGACGCGGCCGCGCGTGAATTGGCCCCGTTGGAGAGGAGAGGTGTGTCGGATTATGACGTTACCGAGTCAAAAAGTCGCTAATCTCATCGGAAGGCATAGTAATCTGATGCATCGGCCGCGTCCGCAGCGCTTCGCCCAATCGCTCCTGGATCACTTCCCATCACTGCACACGACGGCCCGACCGGGTCTCCCGGCGATAGAATACAGGCCCACACGTGGAGCGTGTTTTGTCGCTCGGCGCGTTCCTGTCCGCCGCTCTTGTACGCACGTTGCACCGCGTGTGGCGTTATCGCGGCGCAAAACAGGCCTCGTTGTGCGTTGTACGTGGGTTCTTCGGCATCGACGCGGGACAGGCGCGGAACACGAGATCGTCCCCCCGAGATAAAAAGCCCGCGAAACAGCGGAATCCGCGGAATCGATCCTGCAGACCGGGAGCAGCCTCGCGACTCGGAAGCTGATGGAGAGACACACGCTTCGCGGCCTCTCGAGGACGCACGGAGACGAGAGAGCGCGACGACTGACTCGTAATAAAATAAAATTGTAGCATTGCGTTTTCTCCGCCCGCTCTCGGATTGTACTTGTTGCGAAACACCTTGTCCTCCCTCGTCCCTGCGGCCCGACCGCGCGCGGACGGGCCCCGCTCTTTCTCTCTCTCTTCCCGAGGTAGCCCGCCGGCCTCGAGAAAAGGTACATTGTGCACGATATGATTGAAAGCTCGCTGGTCGCACGCTCTTTGGCATGATCATTGGCTGTCTTCCGGCAAGATCACGCTTATTGTTGGAGAACACCCTGCCGCTGGACCCGCGCCACCGCGCATTGGTCCTCCACTTAAATATCTGCCATAAAAATAGACGCGCCTCTATCGCGGCTCATCCGCACGTCAGTCCCCTACCTGCGCCCGCACGGGGAGGATACGCTTCCGCGTCCCCTTCTTCCCCGCCGCCACCCGATTCCAAGGAGTCTATTCTCGAAACCGCGCGAGAGAGCGCGCGCGCGCGTGTGAATAGGAATCTGAGTCCGCTCGCGGTCTCGTCGGCGAACGTAAGGGCCTGGGGTCCACGACGCCGGAACTTGGTCCAAGTT